CAGATTGTCACTGGTGGAGATGGATAGTCGTTGCCAGTTAACCCAGAGTGGATCAGACGGTACACCAGCGGTCTCAGACATGGGACCCGACCCGTCCTGGGCTAACTGACACCTGGGAAGAGGTAAATGAAGTGACTGTGCATAAGAAACCGGCCAGCGCACCAGCCGAGTGTCACTGCCGGGCTGCGATAGTCATTCATGTCTTTGGCGTTTCTCAAGTAGAGCTTCCAACCGGCTAAATTGTTTCTCAAAGGATTGGTTCATCTCGCCCTGCAGGTTGGTGAACTGCACTTTCATCTGTTCCGATTGCGTGCCCACTTCATGCTTTAGCTGCGTGAGCTGCGCTTCCTGTTTTTGCAGCTTTGTCTGTGCATCCTGAATCCACCCCTTAAGGGCGCTGTTTTGACTCTTGACTTCTTGCAAGGCCGACTCAAGGTGATCAATTCTTCCTGAGTTGGTGTCAGTCATGCCCTCACCGGCACCACTGGCTGCAATCTCCTTGCGAATGGCTTCTTTGACCTCCTGTTGAAGCGTGCCCTTGATCTCGTCAATACGCTTTGTGGTAGTCGGTGCTGGTAGCGGAGCGGCGGCAGAGCTGGTTGCCTGATACTGCGCCCATGGATCATTGTTGTTCAGCCATGGATCTTGTCCATCAGTATTGGTGACATTCACTTTCTTGAAGTGCTGTTGTGTCTTCTGGGCAACGATGATCTTTGGTTTCAAAGCTTCAACCTCGACCTTGCGGATGGGATTAATCAGGACATCAGACTGGAAAGCCTGCATAACCCGGGCCGGTGGTTCTTCCTGTGCACCCACCTGCCAAGACATGTGGAAGTGAGACCCCCTTCCAGGCTGAAGGACTCTGCAAGTCCAGTTCCATTCCTTCATGACATTCTCCATGGTCTTCTTTTGCGTTCCGTGTGGAACTGGTTCGTAGATTTGTTCTATTTTCATCACAGCTTGGAGGTGCTGATCTGGCTTGAGTTCAGCCCATGCTTTGGCCTCATCGTTCTTCTTGACTCTGATGCCGAATCTTTGTCGATGCCTGGCGATGGAGAGAGCGAATGCACAGGTGCGGCTCAAATGTTCGACTTGTGTGAAGTCTGCTTTATTGAGCCAAATGATGCTGAAGTCCGGATGGGCTATCCTGAAATCGTCAGTGCGAGGATCACTGTAGAGACCAATTGGATTGTTCGAAACCAACCCGATCACTATTGCAGCCGGAACACGAATCTGGAACGAAAACTGATCCGCATCTGCTGGTGTCTTCTTAGCTCCAGTCGCTGCAGTAAAGTGCCTCCCCCAAAGCTCTAGAATCACAGCTTCATATGTCTTGTCGACATCCGGGTGAGTTTTGTGGCATTGGGAGCCACGGTTCTTGCCATCGCAGTAGTTCAATGGTTCAAACATCTTGAGGATCTCCCGGATGGGTGCTTCGGTGAACTGTTGCCAATTGACGGGGAGTTGGTCCCGGTAGCAGGTGTATTTGATGATGGCTGTAGGCAGCACTGGTTGTTTGGAGACAGATCCAGCGGTGGCCCTGTCGATACTGATGTCGCCAATACTCAAAAGTGCTCCAAAAATCAGCACCTGTTCTCCGGTGACTAAGTATTGCGCAGGAAATCGCATCTTGACTGCCCCCGCCTGCTGCATGACCTCGGCCGCTGGCGGTTCGAGCATCAGCAATCCCAAAGCATGTGGGCTGATGGATTTGGGCGATTTGAGAAAGGCATCGGCCTCCCCCAAAGTGCAAATAGCCAGACCGTGCTGATCTGCTTCAACCTGGGCAAATTGGAGCTGTGGAATGTGATCTCCATTGCCATCCTTGAACATCTTGGGGTCCAGCACAAGCTGAGAGGGGATGAGCTTGCTAGCCAGGTCTTCTTTGGGTGCGGCAGTCTCACCACGTGCCTTCTTGCCTTTGTGATTCTTGATCTGCGCACCGTGTTTGGTCGATGCCCTCATCTCTATGTATTGCGCCTTCTCCCCATCAGAAAGGATGCGCAAGGAAATTCCCGGCTTGCTAGCCGAACTCTTGAGTGCTGCCCATGGGTTACGATCACCCAGGATCTTGGTCACTGCTTGAACACCCAATCGCTGAAGGATGGTTTGTGCCCTCGCATTCTTGGCTTCTTCAGGAACTCCTCTGCTTTGAATCAGTGCGGCCAACTGGGCTTGGATGTCTGGTCCAGTCCCAATCATCTGCCATGTGAGTGTTGGCGAGATCGTTGCCTGATGCTCTTGGTGAGTTTGTGGACTTCTCTTGTCCAGCACGGCAGCATGGAGGAGAATAGCATCAAGCTCAGTGAATCGCTTCGAATTGTCAATGAGATTGGAAATGTTGAGAACAGCAACTGCCCCACAATGAGCCCCTCCTGACTGCCCAATCCCTTGAGCCAATCGAATGTCATAGTGCTCACACGAGAGTGCTCGACTGACCCGGGCAAAGAAAAGATCCATGTAGGCAGTGATTTCAGTCCTGTGGCTATCAAAGATGGTGACAAAAAGATGTCCTCGCTCATGATGCATGACAAAAGCACTCCAATGGAAATCTTCCCACAGGATGCCGCAACGAAATGCTTCTGCATGTCCGCCAGCCTCCCATTTGTGCCGAATAAGCTGGAGAGCTGCATGCGGCCAGATCTCGGTGACATCAACAATCCATCTTGCTGTCCAAAAGATCTCTGGTGCCAGCCCATGATTTCGCAGCAAGAAAAAGCTGTGGTGCTCGACCTCATCTTCATACCAGCCTCTGAGCAAGGTGCTCTCTGCCTCTTTGATGCCTTGTCCTTCTAACCTGAAGCTCAATGGCCAGCATGGAAAGGAATCTCCGTCTACCGCTGCATAGCTGCCAGGAAACCAAATCCTTGTGTCCAGTGGAACAATGTCCCCAGTGAGATTGACGATAATGTTGGGTCGCTGATCAGAGATCTGATCATAGAATTCAAAGAGCATACTTCCTCGAGGCAGTAGCGCAATGCGGCTTTGTCCTTGTATCTTGAACTGGAGGAGGATACGAGCAGCCTGAAGATCAATCCTGCTACGCTTGGTGGTATGATCAATCAGCAGGTCAGCCTGATGTTCCAGCAGAAGATCAAAACCAGAAACCGCCCCGGAAGTGCCTGTTACTTGAACTCTGTGCCCCCATTCTATGTTGATTCTTTCAGCATGCAGCAGCTCGGACACGGTGGCTTCGTGATGCACCCTACACTGCCAGGAAGGCTCACCAGATTGGCCTACTGTGATGACAGTCCCAGGAATCTGGTCAGTTACCTGAGTCTGTTCTACAATTTTGGCCTTGTACTCGGCGAGGATGAGACTGGGATCAATTGGTGCAACTGTGTCATCATATTGCGATGCTGCAAGGAGGACATGTCCCATGACCCATAGCAGTTGTAGTGGCGCTGCTATCAAACCTATCAGGCAAAGTGCATCCTTCTGTTTCTCAGGCAGCTTCATACCTGGCGGTAGCGCAAACAGAATCCTTAGTTCATCAGAATGCAGGTACCTCGGTCGTGGGTCATCGGGTGAGATGACGAAACAGCCTCTCAGTCCTTTGGTGACAAGACTGGCCATGGCAAACCCCTCTTGTCTACATCCACATGTGCATCTCTGGAGTGGCGATCCATATGAATGAAGTATCGTGTTGCATTTGTCCTCCAAGGTCAGCTGCCGTTTGTCCATGCCTAGACGAGGATCAGCATAGCACTCGATCTCGAGCGATGTGAGCAGCAGCTCTTGCATTCCAGGATGCGTGATTGACAGGAATTCTGGGAGCACATCACCCACCGTTTGTCGACATGGATCTATACCCCATCCCGGAAGGCTTTCGGGCACATTGTGCACATCGGACATGACACAGTACCATCGACGACAATTCATGGGCCACTGTTGACCCAATTCGAGGCACACTTCTCTCATGACCCAACCAAAACTGTCACACAACTCATGTAGCATTGTCTTGATGGTTGTGCTCTCTCCAGCCTGTGTTACGCATTCAAGCAACAGGAGCTTGGGCTTGAGGCAACGAACTGCAAAAATGAGGCCTACGAAGGCGCCAAATCGAACGTCCGCTGTGCCTGACATGGAGCCTTGCCTCGAAAATGGCTGACAAGGGAAACCTGCAGCCAGGCAAAAACCCTCCACCCCCGATGCGACAAGGGTGTCGTGGATCAAAGCAACAACCTTAGGGTCACTGATGTCCCCACAAATGGTGAGGCCTTTGGATTGGTCACGCAAGTTCTGGCATGCTAGCAGTCCGATATCTACCGAAGCGATGGTCTCAAAACCTAAGATGCCCATTGTGTGGCTGACAGCCCCAGAGCCAGCAAAGACATCCAAAAGCTTGGGAACCAAAGGTCCGTTTGGGGAGAAGGCTGGAAAGCACTTGCAACCCGAAACATCGAGCGCCAGCGGCGAGTCCAAGATGCACAAAGGTTCATAACAGATGAAGTGCTCTAGGTCGTGGGTCAGGCCAAAGCACCTCCAGACCTTGTCGGTCTCCACCTCCAAGAACTCGGCAGGGTCGGCACCCAGCCGCATCAACTCGATCGCAGGCAGTCGTTTGCCGCGGTCGAACGACATGGCACGAGCGGGCCCGATTTGCCGGAAACAGCCAAGCTCACTGGTAAGCTCGGGCCGATGGCTATATCCCAATGAATTAAAAAACAAAGCAAGTACAGTTACAAGTTACACATGAAATCCTTGGCGAACCATCCACCTCAGAGCGACCCATCTCACAGACGCTGTGGATCCTGAGACAGCCTTGGAGGAGGTTCTTTTTGTGCCAAAGAGGGATGTGCATGGTTGAGTTAAATGTAGAGATTATACTCCTTTGAGGTCTATGGTTTAGTGGCTATGACACATCCCTCATGCGTCGGCAGGAGTGCGTCGGCCCCGGGTTCAGTCCCAGGGTGCAACACCACTACCGAGGGGACCACCTCAGCGCTGCAACCGAAGTCAGCGCTGTAAAAGTCGCCTCGACGCCGTTTCGGCGCCAGGCGTTGCAGGGCGGCCGCTCCGCGCGGTCCTTGGAGGTGAAGGCAACGGAGCAGACCGGTGGGGGGAAGGCGGAAGACAAACTGGGTGCGTGAGCGGGTGAAAAAAAACGAGATGACTCCATGTGTGTGTGGACCATATTTATGGGCTGGTATGGGCCAAATGGACACAGAGAGAAGTCTTTGGTGAGTTCACCTGGAAGTGCCGGTCCCTCTTTCGTTTCAGGGATGGAGGGATGGGAAGTGTGGGGCATGTGTTTGGTGGAAGAGAAATCTAGAAGGGCACCTAGTCTCACTTTCTCTCGTTGCAAAATGGAGGGTTCCCGGTGACTCTTCACTTCCCATGCACCGTTCTTTTTTCCACCATGGAAGCTCCCCAATAGAGTCTCACTGGGTACAGTAGGACCTGGTTCCCAAACTTCGAAGCCACAAACGGGTCCAGCTACGGATCCAACAGGTCTGATCCGAGACGGCACTCGCTTCGTGTTGGATCTTCCGGAGACGGAGAGATCTTGTGGAGGGCCCTGTTTTCCATCGCCAAAGCAGAGAGGGACTGGTCTTTGCAGACGAGCCGTTCGGGACGCGAGAGTTTGATCCAGTCCTAGTCAGGTGAAAGACGCTGTACTTCCGGTATATTCTTTGTTATTCTTCACATTGTACATTGTGAGACACGGTTCCCTTTCCCTGAATCTTTGTTTGCTTCAGGTCTTTGTTCCGTTGCTTACTTCGTCAAAAGAAGTCCGGAAGATGTTGGTACCAAAGTCGGGGTTTGATTCTTGTCGCTGTGGTTTCAGGTGAAATCCAAATGCTGCGAGCTGCAGTAACGCTGGGCGTCCTGGAGAAGAGGGATGTCCAAAAATAGGGGGCCCAAGGGAAAAGACCTGAGTAGCCTGAGTCTCAGTTTGTACCTTGGAAAATGGGTCCTAGATCCCGCAAGAACCTATATTTATATTGTCCATGTCCCATTTTCTCGGGTACTGGCTGGAGACTTGAGGTAGATCTCACAGGATTGTATGCCATAAAATTGCTGTCGACCAGATGTTCCTATGGACAAGAATGGGTCCCCTATTTTGAGACATGCCCATCTTCCTAGACTGGCGGCCAACTACCTGACTCAGCACGAACGTCCAATCTATAGCATTCTGGTTGGCCCATTCTCCTAAGGTCAGGTAGTGGTGGAATTTACTTTTCTAGAACTTTTTTCTGCTTCCTGGTTCTGCTTGTAGATTTGCAGATTTGTCAATCTTGCTTTTGAACGCGTTCTTTGAGTTTCTTTCGCTCTTGCGAATCAATCAGATTGACTTTGCTGGTTTGGGTCTCCAAGGCAACACGTGTCGAAGCAGCTTCCCCAAAAAACATGTTCCGATGATTGAGATTTGGAGTCATAGGGTGGTTAGGACTCAGTTAGGACTGTTAAGAGTCCTTGGATCTAAGAAAATTTGCTCTTGAGCTTGGTTTGGGTGTTTCTCCAGGAAAAAAGTACAGGTGAGTCTGCAGTGGTCATTGAAAACGCTCTTCCTCTGTGATCCGCTGAGCAACGGACTGGAGCGATCGCGGCTGAACAGGATCCGTCCGGGTCTTCCGAGGGCTTTGAGATCGTCTCCTGCCCTCATGAGGCCCAACCGGCAGTTGGGAAGATGGTGAAAAGGAAGTGTTTTGAAACAGTTCGGGATTTGTTGCAAGAGAGCTGTTCAAGAGGGCTGAATGTGAAGGTTTGAAGGAACACTTGTTCAATGGTAGGTTTTGTTGGTATTTGAGCATGTTTTTTAAGGGCAACATGGGCGACCTTTCGTCCAAAACCGGGTGGACGTTGACAAATTGATAGTTGATAGACTTAGACGCCGGGAACATGATCCATACCAGTAGGCTTGTACCATGCCAACCCACTGTTACAAGGACAAGCTCTTCGCATCAAGACCTGAGCCAACCAAAAGCCACAAACGCATGGAACCAACCCAAAACTCAAAACCTCCCTGACTTTGGCCCCGCTTGTGGGTGCCGGACGGAGCCAGGCCTTGGAGCGCTTTTTGGGTGAGAGCATCTCGCAGGAGACGGGTTTGTCGGTTTGGAAGCGGTGTTCGATCAAACACTGACTAAGGTCGTAGCAATCTGGTTTTGAGGGAACAGAAGCAAATGCACACCGATTTCTTGCTCAACGATGAATCTCTTGTCATAAGAGTAAGCACAGTGGAACGAGCATGTAATGTAGCTTTTCAAGATCCGCAGTTTTAGTAGCGGTAGTTTCGTAAGTTGGTGAAGTACTATATATAAACAAGTCAACGCCTAGTGATAGAGGACAAGACCTTTTGATGGTAAAATAGAAACATGTTGTATTAAAATGTTTTGTGAAGAACGGCCGTCGTCATTTAGATTCAGTTAGGTGTCAGTCATTGCAGTTTCGCAGGGTGGTGGTGCTGGTGTTGGATAAACTGACTGTTATTTAACGAGTTTAACAGGTGCTAATGTATTTGTACCATGTGTGTTTGCACAGTTGAAACGTCTCACCACCACCACCACCACCATTCTTGATAACAAAAGTTGTCTCAGCAACTACTGTCGACAATATATAAACATTTACATGCATTGGTGTTTCTGGAAACCAGCTGGTAATGTTAATGTTGAAATGAAAAGCTTGAGCTGAGCTTTCATTGTTGAGTGTGGCCTGGAACTTTTGAAACTAGATACTGCTGATACGGTCAGTTCTAATCCATTAGAAACAGGACTGTTAAGTACAAAAATGATAGAACCTAGGTTTGGAAATAATGGTAATGCATTTAGTTCTAGTTAGCTGTGTAACTTGCACAGCTACAATTGAAACAAGTCACAGTGATATGTTTACAGCAATGTTTGAAGGCAGGCGACGGAAGTTATTGTAAAACACCTGAAGATGAACGCCAAGTTCTAACTTGTGGTGTTTCATGTTCTAACTTGACTCGTTTACACTTGCTACAAGTGTAAATATTCCAGGTACATTGTATTGGGCTTGGTATTAACTTTCAATCGGCTCAACAACGCTAGCAGCAACAACAACAACAACAGTAGCTGCATAGCAAAAGTTTGAATATGGAAATAGTATATTTCTATTGAAAGTTGGTATTAAGTTAAACTGTTTAGATAGCCGGACTTAATTTCAAATGATGTTTTGCTGGACAACTGGACAACTTGTTTCTAGTTGTTTTGTTCGTCAGAACTTGAACATAAATGCGCATTGCAAACGGGAGTGCGCTGTAACTATTCCATTTATTGGTTTATACGTTTAAACGTTCTCTTATTGAAATTTGAAATTGTATTGGTTCTTTCTTAAATGAAATGTTCTCTCATATATATATACATATATATATACACGTTCTTGTTGCAGTCAACTAGCAAACCATTTTGTTAGTTCAGTTTAAAACGTGTTTTCGGTCGTGAATATCTTGTCTAACGATTCTTCTGTCAGGAGCAGTTCTGCCTGTAAATGCAGTCTTCAAAGTTTGGTTATTCTGTGTATCATACTGGAGGATAGTTATCATGAAATCATGAGGTATATGAGTTAACCCAATTGTTCTAGTGCATTTTGTAAGCGTGATGACGTGTATGCATCTTCGATTGTAAATTTTTCAGTTGAACATCTGCAAGTAAAGTCTCAATTTCAACTGATTCATTTTGCCACTTTACAATCCAGCAAAAAGTTAGCATGGACGTTGCCTATGAAGCGTATGACATGCAAAGAACCCTTGAAACTAATCAGAATCTGGAAACTGATTTTGATTTCAACGAACCGGAAAACAAACAGCAAGTGTGCAACCTTGGCAATCACACGTTGGTCCTGGCCAAAAGACGCAACTTGGGAACCCTTAAGGTCTAAATGTGTTGTTATTTGGTCTATTTGCCAACAGAATGAACATGCAGAAAACAATGCACACAAGGTGTTCAACCTCTTTGACATGGGCACCTGCTGCGAAGTTCAACCAAATCAACATGAAGCAGAACCAACCAGCAAAATCTTACAAAGCGAACGAAACGGCGGTTTAGATGCCTAAGCGGCCGGAACAGGAATCCGTTTTGTGGACAACCTTCACATGACAACAATTGAAAACATCGTTGGCAGAACCACCACAACTACACATGGGGATGTTCTGGAGGAAAATTGTGTGTTCGGAATGAAAAACCGCTCAGCCTGAAGGATTGCCTCAGCATCGATGACGTGGTGAGTTTTTAATTCGTTTCGAAAACAACGACCGCAGCTTCCGGAGTTTCCCGCAAAGCTGGGCAGCAGGTGTTTGGCGTTTTGATCCAGGCACTGGGGGTCCGATTGTCGACAGAAGAGGTTTGGAACCTAGCCTAGTGACCTACATGTAGTAGTTGTTGCTGTTGTGGTGGAAGAGATTCTTTATTATTCCTTCCCATTAAACTAATTAGGATCCGACATTAGTCAACATATCGCCCAAAAGTCCTGACGAGTTTGTCCAGTGAAACGATGAGCTGCCATAAGACCTCTTCAGAGCAAAGGGACCCCCTCAGGGCCATCGCCGGCCCCATATTTGAGGGTGTCGCCACCCAGTGTGCGAGTCTCGCGCGTGGTTTCAACGCGCACCATTTTCAGCGAAGCGTGAGAGTAAAGGAGCTGGCATGTGGCACGGGCCTTTTCACTTGATGTGAGTGAATATCGAGAGACCTTGCCTAGCTGGCCAAATTAGAGCGGCATCATTCTATTTGTAGGGTGTTATGGGTCATCTCCCGGAAAGGAGAAAGAACACGAGAATTCTGTAAATGATCCAAGAATTTCCCATGAATCCTCTCCTCCTGCACTTCCAAAGGAAGGACCCATCACGACCGCATGTCCATCCTCTACTGCTCGCGGCCGGTCGCTGCATCTGTACAGCCTCCCGTCGGCTCATTGAGGGAGTCCATGAGAGCTTCCCCCGGCGAGCGAGGAAAAAGGCCCCAAATCGCTTGGTCGGTGGTCAGAAAGCGGATCGTTGAAAATGTGCTTTAGAGGTGGACTTACACCCGGGACTCCAAGACCTCAATCGATGCGTCGATGCTTTTGAGACCAGACGGGATTAACTACAGGATCCAGGTGTACAAGTCCAATCTATGTGGAGGAGATGGAAACTTTCAAGAAAAAGACGACTCTTTATTTCTTCGTTCATGCAGTTCTTTTCTTCGCTTCCCCGACTCTTTTAAGTACCCTCGTTTACGCAGTCGAAGTTGCTGCAGCCACTTGGGTGTCGAGGTCAGGAGACATATGAATCACAGGGAAGTATATCATCAGTGACTCCTTCATGCTGAGCATCACAGACATGACCCTTCTGACCCAGCAATCTTCAGGAATGTTGAAGAGGCTTGTCAGGTTGATTGCCGAGATAATGATTAGAACCTTCGAACATGTATATAAGTGGCAAGAATATGTTCAGATGCAAAGAATTACACACTGATTGCGGCCGCTTCACCAGTCATTTTGAAGGTGTCATATATAAGTATAGCTAATTGTATAAATTATATATATAATCTAATGTGAACGGTTTTCTGATGTTTTCTGCAGATTGTCCCTTCAACCACTCCGTACCTAGCACTCACTTGGTCTCCCCAGCTGGGTCGGAGAGGCCTGGTTCACGTCGCTCCTGCCACCAGCCAAAGTCGCCGGTGGCGATTCGAGTCAGCAAAACGCCATGCGCAGCAGCAGCAACCTCTCCGGCACCAGCAGTAGCAGAAGCTCCAGGCGAAACGAAAGAAGACCCATGTTGTGTCTCGTGAGAGAAAGAGACCTCTCCCATTTCTATGACCAGTTCAGGCATGATGCTCCTTGAATCAGTATACAGCATACTAATTACCACATGTA